CAGTCATCATCCAATCCCCGGAAGTCACTTTTTCTGTTAAATATTTTTTCTGCAAAAGAAAATTGATATTAGTATTAATGATAACAAAAAAAACTTGAAATGACTATTAGAGTAAATTTTGTAAACTTACGACTCCATCCCTCAAACCAGCTGAATTTTCCAGTTCATTGTCAAATTCCAAAAATAGATCGAGTGTAGTCATCTTTTTGAATACTGCTATCATGACTTTTTTCTTTTCGCTCCAAGACGAATCCGATGAATAGGCATTAGGTAACGGAACTGCTGCAATTACCTTTTCCTTTGCTTGATGTGTCACTAAACGATACGTATTTCCTACAAATAAAACTTGTTCATATACAGGGTGTCTCATTTTAATTTACCACCCCCTAAAACAGGTTAATAATTTGCTCTGAGAAAAAAATGTTTCAAATAAAATTTGTTGGGTTCGAAGGGGGCATCTTTTGGCTATTTCAGCTGCGACCTTGAGCATGACCTTCAAGGTAATTTGAAAGTCAAGACCAAATTTTCATATGAAATGTGCATATTTTATGGCGGATTCGGATTCTACTAAAAAAGAAAAACACTTTTTGTATGAATCATTTTTTGAAAAAATCCCAAATTTTTGTTGTAAACGGCTTTAAAAAAGTAGAAAAAATCACTAGATATCTCTACCTTAAACTAAGGTTAGAATTTTTCCCACAGTTAAGAATGATTTTGATGAATGTTACTAGATTCAATGAGGGACATACTCTAGTGACCTTCACCACGAACTTGCTTAAGAGCCATCAAAGTCATTTGAAGGTCATCAAGATTTTTTGAAGGTCAAATGTTTATTTACAGGTAACCATTACATTTTATCCGAGGAATTAGAATATTAGAATTAGAATATTTTTCTCGTAAATGCTTTATTTCTCGCTAAGACATTTTTTTGCTTCGTTATCGTTCTATTGGTAAGGCTTGTAAATTCTTACAGCTCCTCAAAGCTTCTCATCATTAGGTTTTCATTGACTTTCTGAATTTCAGATTAAATAAAAATTAAATTATTAATTTAAGATTAAATATTCCCTAAAAAATCTACCTTCAGCAGATAATGGCTGACTACACGCCAGTAGAGATAGTCAACATGATCAAGATTTTGGGAGAATGTCACGACAATTACAAGGCTGCAGCGAGGCTGTACGCTGAAAGGTATCCGGACGCTCGTCATCCTACTAGGAGGAATATTAAACTTCTAACGATAAGAGCTCAAGGAGGTAACTTAAGAAGGAAGAGGCGACGGACGGGCTCAAGAGAGCATATTGCGCTTGGGGTTCGTGCTGTAATTGCCGAGGATCCTCATATTTCGACGCGACAAATTCAGTGAATGCATGGAGTACCCAGATCAACAGTTTCCCGTGTATTGCGTCATTTTAGATTTCATCCATATCACTTGCACCTTACACATGCCATTGAGCCTGGTGATCCTGCCAGGCGACTTAGATTCTATCAATGGGCGGAAACACGAATGCGCATAGATCCATTTTTCTTTGATCGGACTATCTTTACAGACGCGGCAAAGTTCGACAATATGGGAGGAGTTAATCTTCATAACGCGCATTATTATGCAGAAGAAAATCAACATTGGCAGCGAGATCACAGTACACAAAGACGGTGGTCAATTAATGTTTGGGTGGGCATAGTTGGGGAATACGTTGTGGGTCCAATTTTTTATGACCGTAATTTAAACGGCGAGCTTTATTTAGATATTCTCGAGAACCAAATTCCACCTCTTCTAGAAAACATTCCGCTAGAAATAAGGCGAGACGTGTGGTTCCAGCAAGATGGTGCTCCCGCTCATCGTCGACTACTTGTCAGGAGATTTCTGAACGCGACATACCTAAATAGTTGGATTGGAATTGGTAGTCCAATCTGTGAATTCCCTGCGCGATCGCCAGATTTGACCCCATTGGACTTCTTTCTGTGGGGGGTCGTGAAGCAGAGAGTTTACGCGGAAGCCCTGACGACGGCACAAAATATGATGGAGAGAATTGTTGCAGCATTCCAGGCGTTAACCCCACAAACATTAATAGATGTCCAAAGAAGTTTTCGCCAGAGAATACAATGTGCATTCAACAAAATGGGCAATTGATAGAGCACTTGAGTCATTGAAATTTCCGTGACTAGCTGAACGAAGGGGTCTTGCCTTAAGTGGTTGGACGTGAAGGTCTTGCCTTAAGTGGTCCAAAGGATACCTCTGTCTTTGTTTGAAGCTAGTAACATTCATCTAAAACATCTTATTTCTAGAACAAATTCTCTTTTCAGTTAAAGGGAGAGCTACCTATCTATTCATGATCAAAAAATGATTCAGACAAAAAGTGTTTCTCTTTTTTAGTAGAATCCGAATCCGCCATAAAATATGCACATTTCATATGAAAATTTGGTCTTGACTTTCAAATGACCTTGAAGGTCATGTTCAAGGTCGCAGCTGAAATAGCCAAAAGATGCCCCCCTTCGAACCCAACAAATTTTATTTGAAACATTTTTTTCTCAGAGCAAATTATTAACCTGTTTTAGGGGGTGGTAAATTAAAATGGGACACCCTGTATACTTCTATTGTTGATAGTTTACTACATTGTATGTAAAGCAAAAAGAAAAAAAAATACGTACCTAGAATCATGTCAACTTTTGCATTAACAGCTTGGAATTATCATTGACTATCAGTACGTTTTCATACAAAGTCAGAAGAAATTGATTGCCCGTTTGAATCCCTGCAACTTATACCAAATAAATTATATATCAAGAAGTTGTGAAAATTATAGACGGACACCTAGTTTTTGTCCTTCTTTGCTTAACAATTACGAATTTACCATCTTTCAGCTTCTTGAATTGGGGAAGAGGAGTCGAGCTTCTTGTATCATTTGTGATATTTTTCAACGGCTTCCTAGATAAAAATTCAGGCTGACTACTAGTAGATGGGGGATTGGTGATGCTCTTAGAGGGGTTTTGAGTTTTAGATGCATGCGAGTTACTGGTAGGCGACTCTGCAATATTTTCTATTTCTGCCTTGATATTGTTGCCCTTGACGTTGCCTGTAAAATTAAAAAAATAAAAACTTTACTTTGAAAAAATTTTGCAGCATTGTTGGATATTTTTTATTATTTCTACTTTTGATACTTACTAGTTCTATCTCTACTTAATAATTTTTGTAAATGCTTAACTAAATAAGGGCTACCAGGAGTGAAGCGCTTTTCATCAATTATGCTTGGTTTCGATGCTGGATCTTTTGTAGAGTTCCCCAATTCAACTAAAAAATTATTTTTTTACAGGTTCATAAAAATATTCATTTCTCTGCACAGTCAAATAATTGGAAATTGATTTTAAAATATGAACATTGTACTTTTTTAATATTTTTTCAGAATATTTTATATATTTGTAATAGAAAAAATTATCGCTAAAATAAAAGTTTTTTTTCCCTTGAGGCGTGGGAGAAATTCAATGTGGAAATGTTTTTTTTTTATTAGAGAGGCCACTTGAAATCTTTATTCCGTTCTCTATCATGGATATATCATCTTGCAATAATTTTTATAATATTTATTTTGGATATGTAAAATCAAAATCCAAAAGAAGGCTTCATAAAAAAGGGGATTCAAATGCCGAAGTTACATCTCTTAACTAAAAATAAATCTTTCATAAAAATCAAAAGGAACTAATAACAGAATTCTCTTTGATCGGTAACTAGCAATTCAAAAAAAAAAAATATTATTACGTTCTTTTAGTATTGTTTGGGATTCATAGAAGATCTCATATTGAATATATTCAAATGCAAAATACCAGCGGATCAATTTTCTGCTTATTCAGATTAAAAAAATCTCTTATCACTTTCCATGTCCAGATTTAAATCATTATTTTTTTCTTCTGTCTCAATGGAAGCACCAGTCGATGTTGATCTGGCAATATTTAGTAAAGTTTGATCTAGTGCCAGGGGAAACATACTGATCAAACTACTATCATTTACCTAATCTCATATACAACAATGGTTAAGGAAAATCCCTCATGTAATTAAAACAACAATCTTGAAATTTCAACGTTTCGCCATAAATTCATGGCCTCTTCAGGAAAACTTTATTAAAAATTATAAACAATTAAAAACTTTTTTAAACAATCGACATGATCATAACACTACAGTACACATCAAACAATAATAACAAAATCATTCGTACTCACAATTATAGAAAACTTAAGTCATAGTAATGTCAATTTATAAAATATTTACTATTCAGAACAACCTGAAAATTCAGAGATATAAAATGAACTGTGAATTTCAAAGTGTTACTCATCATGGTACAACTGTCTATACTAGACTGTCAATATAGTAAGCAATTAAACATCCAATCAGAGTCAAGCACGAAACGGAGATGCCCGAACAATTTGAACCACACAAACAAAAATTCAATGATAAGAGCGCATCCCTTTTACAATATTTACAATCTGACAGTATTGTTTATTGAGAAGCTTCACATCTTCTTTTCTGTTAATCGTGTTATCACTAATAATAATATTAATCATCTTAGATGTAAATCTTTTTTTGTAATTTGATTCTCTATCCAAAATAACTGTGTTTTCCCAATCAAATTCATGATTAGGAAAATCATGTGGGATGAAACTGGAGTCGTCTACAAATTCAATTGCAAATCATGCCCAGCGAATTATGTGGGTGAAACAAAACGTAGTTTAAAAAAGAGAATTAAAGAACACAAAGATTCAATAGGAAAAAATAAGTTACCAGTATCTTCTCACATAGAGAATTTTCCTAATCATGAATTTGATTGGGAAAACATAGTTATTTTGGATAGAGAATCAAATTAAAAAAAAATAATTACATCTAAGATGATTAATAATAAGTGAGACTTCAAATTTTTTTATAGCATTTTGTGATGTAATTCAGCACTTGCGCATGTTTCAAGCGATACGTATGAACTATTATTTGGGCTGAATTTTAACTACTTGTATTTCTTTTTCAGATAGTATAACTTACCTGAAAGAGAAGAAAACTAGATGGCCAAAACCAAACGTCAGGAAAAGCGATGTATTGCGCGAACTAGCACTTGAAAACGTAAAAGTCCCGGAAGTAGAAGAAACAAATTCGACGAAACAAAAAAATTACTCCAAAAAATCTCTTAAAAAGAATACTTCAAAAGGGAAAAATTCAAAGAACAATGTATCCAAGGTAAAACACACACACCCTTATAATATAATAATATTTGTCTGTTTGTTTCTAAACCCTTTGATCTTTATATGCTGTAGATACCGGCACCTCCGAATACTTTCGACGCTGCACTCAAGAATTGATCCGGTATTATACCTACTAAGAAGTTGCAATTCGGTGACTTGGATAATGCTCGTAGCTCGAGTAATGAGGATATGGCACGAGAATTAGCAGAAAAGGATGCCAAAATTACAGAGCTGATGGAGGCTTTACGAAAACAGCAAGAGAAAAGTGAGAATAACTTTTCGTTTTAAGGCAGCCCTAAATCCCATAGTAATATACCATCCGCTAAAGGTAAGATATTCTTCACTACACATGCATATATTTTTATATTGTTCTCAGTTCTCATCACTTCATCCAAATCACCACAATACTGTACGTATTATATTGCATCGAAATTCATTTTTGTATTTTTACTTACGTCATAACTATTTGTTTGAGGTACCACTTCGAGATGTAATGCAAGAGGACTCACTGGGAACATAACAAGTCCATGTGTGGTTGATGGAGACAAAATAGTGGACGTCGAAGTGAAGGTTGAAGAAGAAAATTCAATTCCGAAAACAAAGAAGCAAAACTTGGATGAAGGGGAAAAAAAGGATCTAAGTACGTGAAAACTGGTCACAATTTCACTTACACTTTAGAAGATTATAAAAATTCAGGATTAGAAATGCGGACTGAGTTATCTTCATGAACTAAAAAGGTTATATTGGAAAACGGAAAAGAAAAGCACGTATGTATGCATTTTTACAAAATGATAATTATTCGAATCTTCACATCTATAATCTATGTATTTCTTACAGGTCGAGATGATCCATTTGCATTTCGGTATTTCTATTAGCATGGATAGTTGGCGCAATGCCTTGGCTGATAAATCAGCCCCCAGATTCCTGAAGGTCATGCTGTTGCAGATTTTTGAGCCCAAAGAGTGTTCCACCTTGGCTGTACAAGTGACGAGGACTGCATCATCCGCTCACAGAAAATATGTGCCATCAAGGCAATATAACGTACTGAGAAGTATGACACTTTTTTTATTATTAAATATATTTGTATAAAAATTAAATAATTATCCATGATTACTAATTTATTATTAATTTGCAGAAGTTTGGCTACACTTTCTCGTAAAGAAGAAAATGATCAAGGCTAAATGCTGCAGAAACCCGAGCATGTCAGAAAATTATTAATGGGTTTGGTCGTCAACTGGGAGTGGTGATCAATCAAATTCGGATTCAATATTTCAATCTAGAAAAGGCAGGGTTGCTGTCAGAATTTGAAAAAGGGAATGCTAGTAAAGAAGAAGTAGAAGAAGAATTTGTTGAGTAAGCTGAATTCATTTATTCAAAAACGGCGTCACTTTCATTTTATTGTGATGTATAAACCGCAAAATAAGAAACAGTTTTTTTACGATTTTCTATAATACTGTACAAACTTTCAACAAAATACGTGCACATTCATTCGTATCAGTTCATGTAAAAGTACTTGTTTCATTTTCTCTTTTAGCGTGAAATTCAAGTTTTCTCGTGTTTCACTAATGATCATTCTATTTGAACCTCAAAATGAGAACTATTTTTTTCTCTCTCTATTTACATTTTTAATTTCGTCGATGATTGTTACATCAGCACTAGTAATCTTTCTTAACTGATTTGTGTACTTACTTATATTACTGTAGCAATGTATACACTGTAAACATATTTCTTTTTCTTATTTAATGATTAAGTTACAGATATTAATTCATAAGCATACATTTAATTTCACGAGAATCAAGCAATGTCTTGTCTTCGAGCTTTAATTATTATATAGAAAATTACATAACGTTTTTTATTGAAGTAATTTTAAATTACACTTTATATGTAAGTTTAAAAAAAAACGAAAAAATCTAATTATGCTATCATTTATAAATCGATGTATAATGGATAATTTAATAAAGAATTAACTTATAATTTCATGCATATAATAATATTAAACAAAATAGAATCATGTTGGAAAATGACGTCGTCATTGTCCAATGAAACTAATAGCAATCGATGACGTCATTATTCTAATATTCAAATAAGAATAAACTAATTAGGATTTGACGATTTATGACATGTTTACATTTTTCTTAATTCTTCAAAAAATAGTATGAGAATATAAACTATATTTGTTACAATACATCTTTCTTTGTACTTTTGCTCTTAGTATTAGGCTACATATCGAATTGTACTTGAAAATAAATAATCAGTACTTCCCGAGGCTGACATCAATTTTATATGCTGATGACCGAACAACAGCTATATATTGTACAATTAAGAATTTTCTTATTTTCTCTCTTTTTAAGAAAACGTATTTGAAACACGGAATTTGGACACGGTATAATGATAGAACAGCCACAAGTATACAACAGACCTAAATGCGTTACGAATAGGAGAAAAAGAAGTTTAGGATGGGTGGCTGAATGCTCATCGCTGATTGAGCTGCAGCGACAGTAATGAGAATCTGATTTTCACGAAGTCGTATCACATCTATATTGTTTATACAGCTAAGACCAAGATGCTATGGAAATGCCGGCTGTGAATCTTGATCATAGTTATATAAACAATATAGATACGATACAATTTCATGAAAATAACATTTTTTGTAGCGTCATCGAATTCTAATCACTGTGCAGCGAGATTTCTGACGGAACCTTGAACCTACCCTACCTCTCGTTGCACAGTCACCCGCAAAATCAAGTTACCGGCGGTCCGCGGTGTACCGATAGCTGATAACCCCGCAACGAATTACCGTATTCCAATTCTTTAATGAAAATCAATTTATAAACGGCGAGGGACGGGCAACCGAAGTCGGCTAATTACTGTCGTTTCTCTTACCCACGCACTTTCACCTCCCATACACTGCATCTTCCAAAATTTTAATTTTGCTCCCTTGAAGTGGAAGCTTTGTTTTTACTTTTTTTGTGATGAAATATACTTTGAAAATTTTTATTTTTTTTGTTTGCCATAACTTTATTGATTTTAGTGTTACATTCTACCGGTTATACGAAGGTGGATTGATAAGTTTCCGGCCTGATTTTATTTCTCAACATAACCCGTTAAGGCCGAGAACGCCCCTCCCGGTACACCGCTCTTTCGACTATCATAACTCGTGCAATTCCACGTATAAAAAATTGAAAGATACACTATTTCGAAGCTTAAGATCTCCCCTTTCCAACGGTATGCCGAAAAATACGATAAAAAAATGTTAACTATGTGAAAATATTGTTTAAATAAAAAAAAACACGATTTTTCCATAATTTTTTTTTATAAAATCAAGTTTTCAGAATGGACCTCTGTTTGCAATCCACTTGGAACGTCAATAACTGGTGGCATAAATGTCTAAGCTTTCATAATATATATTTCCGAGATCGTTTTTTTATCTCAGTATCATCAGAATGGCGCTTCAATGACGGAAATTTCGTTCAGACATTCATGAATTTTTTCCTTGAAAAGTATGGACTTTTCGAAAAAGTCAAAAAGAAGAAAAAGTTCTTAAAATCACTCATATAATACATCAGAATTTTTTCGAAAAGTTTGGAGCAATTTTTTGAATTTTGCAAATTGTGAAATTTTGAACATTTTCAAAATTGACCGTAATTTTTTGAAAAAATTCGGGTGCATTCTTTGCTCAGTTTTGAAAACTTTTTATTCCTGGTAAATTTTCATATGAGTTCATTGCTTTTAAGAAAAAAATTCACAAGTGTCAAAATAATTGCACAGTATGTATAGTCCGAGGTATCCACGCTGCAATTAGTGTGAGAGCTTGTACTGGTGAAAAAAGATATGAAAAGGAATACATTTTTAGAAAAACCTAATTTGGTGATGAAAATAACAAAATAAACTATCTACTTATAACTGCAATCTATATCGGAGCGAAATCCTGAATAGCCGATCGTGTCGCAGAAGCCCATCATTCGTTCATAGGTGGCCTGAAAATCCAATTTTAGCGAAATTCATCGCATTGGAATGATTCATGAAATACATTGAATTTTGAATCTTGCAAGTCATTGAGTATAATTGACTATCATCAATTGAAGCAAAAATCCGTAAATCGGCCCGAATAATACAGCTGGTTGCTACAGGCTTCCTACCAACAGGACGTTCCACTGAAGTTATTTCAGTAGGTTGAGAAAAATGTCGAAAAGGAGAGCCGCGAAAAGGAGTTACTGTGAATTGACTGATGAAGAGTCAGATACGAATGAAAATAAACAGCATATTTTTATACCTAGTCCAGATGACTCTGGCACTGATGGAGATAGTTCGTCAGATACTGACAATTCTGAATCAGAACTACTTGATGAAGACAATTCTGAATCGGAAATTCATGTACCAAATGTCTCATATCGATCTGTTTTTGAAAGTTATACAGAAAAACAAAAACTGTTAGAGCCAAATCATACTTTTTCGTGGTGTGAAGGAGAAAAAGTTTACTCTGTAGATTTGAAAGATCAATTGTTATTGCCTGATTCCGTAAAGCAGAAAATATCTTCAATGTCACACGTGGAACTGTTCGAAATCTTTTTCTCTGAAGAAATAAAAAATTATATTATTCAAGCCAGTGAAGAAAATGATTTGAAATTATCTTCAAAAGAATTCAACACATTCATAGGAATATTATTATTATCATCTTACAATATTCGAAAGAATCAAAGAGAGTATTGGGAAACCGACCCTCTCGAAAACTGCTCTGCTGTTTCATCAGCGATGACACGCGATCGGTTTAGTGAAATAAAATCTAAAATAAAATATTCAAAACCTACTGACAAAAATGATAATGATAAAGCTTGGAAAGTCCGTCATATTTTGGAATTGTTTAGGACCAAAATTAAACAATTTGGATATTTTTCAACTGCTCTTTCCATTGACGAAATGATGGTTAGATTTTTTGGTCGCACGTGTCTGAGGCAATATTTGCCTTCTAAACCTGACCGATACGGGATCAAACTCTGGGCCTTGTGCGGAGCAAATGGATATATATTCAACGTTGATATTTATTGTGGTAAGAACGATACAAGCATTGGGATAAATTTATCCGCATGTCCACTTGGCTCCAGAGTTGTATTACAAATTGTTAATCCACTTCTACATAGCTTTTCAAAAAGAAAATTGTCTGACTATCATGTCTATTTTGATAACTATTTCACTACTCCTGATTTAGTCGTTCACTTGAACAAATGTGGCTTACGATCTACAGGAACTGTTCGTAAAGATAGAGTGAAACAAAAACATGATTTTGAAAAAAAAGCACCACGAGGAACGAACAAAGCGAGTTATGATCGTAACAGTGGAATGAATCTCATCAGTGTAGTTGACTCAAAAGAAGTTTCTATTCTTTCTACGGCAGCTGGCGTCACTCCCTTGGAGCCAATGGAAAGATATTCGAGAACTGCTAAGAAAAGATCAAAATTGGAATTCCCTTGTGCTTTTTCTTCGTATAACAAGTACATGGGAGGAGTGGATTTGCACGATTTTTGATGCAAGAAAGCTTCTCCAACTGTCAGTTCAAAGAAGTGGCCATTCAAAATTTTCTCACGAATTATTGAAATGTCAATAACGAACGCTGTAACAATAAGCAATCTTTGCAGAAAGGATAGAAAAATAATGAAAACGCAAGAAATGTGTAAAGAAGTGAGTAGAAAGTATTTGGCGCAATCGAAAATATGTGATCTCAAATCTCACAGGCACGATACTAGAACAAGAAACAAATGTAATAGCGAAGGATGTTGTGTAAGGACTACCAGATACTGCATTGATTGCAAAGAATATTACTGTATCGAGTGTTTTTGAAAATTACACGCAGGAAAGGTAGCGAAATGAATTATCGATTCCAGAAAAATTCATCAATAAAAAAAAATAAAAAAAAAAATAACTAAAATATGAAAAAAAAAAAAAAAAAAAAAACTATCTATATTCGTCGACCTCCTCGTTGGTGATAGTTGGGCAACGCAAACTCTGTTTGCGGCGGACAGGCGATCAAAGAGTGGATGTTAATGACTTACGTATTGGGCAATTACTTTAACACTTGTGAATTTTTTCTCAAAAACAATGAACTCATATGAAAATTTACCAGGAATAAAAAGTTTTCAAAACTGAGCAAAGAATGCACTCGAATTTTTTCAAAAAATTACGGTCAATTTTGAAAATGTTCAAAATTTCACAATTTGCAAAATTCAAAAAATTGCTCCAAACTTTCCGAAAAAATTCTGATGTATTATACGAGTGATTTTAAGAACTTTTTCTTCTTTTTAACTTTTTCGAAAAGTCCATACTTTTCAAGGAAAAAATTCATGAATGTCTGAACGAAA